TATCTATCTATCTATCTATCTATCTATCTATCTATCTATCTATCTATCGATTGATTGTGATGCTCATCACTGAACTCAGCACAAGCAAACACTCTGCCTTGGAACTACAACCCCAGCCTATTTCTTTTAACTACTTTACAACTCTTCTTTCTTTTTTTCTTTCCCTGTATCACCTCTACCATGCTGGGGTCTCCAAAGTACCACAAAACAACACCTAGACACTGTGAAAATGGAAAACTTGATGTCCATTGTGGAGGAATTTAAATTCAGAACATGGCTGCTCTGCAAGAGATCACATACAAAAACATTCTAGGTCTATGTGATGCATCTGGAATACAGACTTGTCTTTAATCCCAGGAGACAGGGCAAACAGATCTCTGAGTTCAAGGCCAGTCTGGTATAGAGCAAGTTTCAGATACAGAAAAGCTTAGGTCCAGGCATGGCGGTACAAGCCTTTAATCCCAGCCCTCAGAGACAAAGGCCTGGAGATCTGAGTTCTGTTCAGGCAGTTTGGTTGAGAGAGTGAGTTGAGAGGTAGCATGGTGGAGTTAAGTTTGTAGCAATTCAGTTCCTGGAATTCAGAGGCAGTTTTTACCAGAATTTTACAGAGAGCGATTGAAGAGAGAACAAGCTAGACTCAGATGAAGACAGAATGAGCCAGAGAATGAGAAGGAGCCAGAAGACTAGAAGAGATTACTAGAGTTAGTTTGAGGCCAAGCAGAACAATTCAGTCAGAACCTGAGAGAAGCCAGATTGAATCAGTCAGCTTTGGGGAGGAGTTTGACACAGAAGAGCTTAAGTGAACCAGCCATCCAGAGTTCAGAAAGAGCTAGAAAGGTTGAGCTCATTCAGCAGTAAGTCTCAGAGGCTGAAAACATTTTAGGACTAGATAAGATTGTATGAAGGCTAGGCCTAAGTTACCAGATGGAGGCAATAAGCCTTGGAGACGACAATTAAATCAGGCAAATAAAAGTTACTTTAATAGTCCAGTTTACATGGAGCCCTTACAAAATACTTTGGATATTATATGGCAAGGCATTTTCAATTATTTAAAAACTGTTAACTATATAATTAAGAAATGATGGAAAGGGACCCATCAAGATGGCTCAGTGGGTAAAGGTACTTGCCCCCTTGAACCTGTGTTCAATCCCCAAACCCATGTAAAGGTGGAAGGAAAGAACCAACTCTACAGAATTGTCCTCTGGCCTCCATGAAGTGTGCTTGGCTTGCTCACTACCACACACACAAACACACAATTTTTAAATGTTTGGAGAGGGCTGCTATGAGTCTGAAAACAGCCTGCACTACAAAAACCAACAAGGTTGGAGACTCCCCTGTGTCCCCTCACTGCCCTGGGTTCAGTCCAGTGAGGACAGGGCTGAATTTTCATTCTTAATTCACCACATCACAGGGTCAGTGATGTGAATCCAGAATGTAAAATATATTCATGCAAAAAAATCTGAATTAAAAGGTAAATCCAGTTAGGATTTAAAAACAAAACAGAACTACAGGGTGATGGGGGAAAGAAAGAGAGTTAACCCAGAGCCTCACTGAAAGATGCACGTTTCACTCCCCAAAGTGAACTGAACTCAGCTCCTTTGCAAAAGCACTTAACCACTGAGCCATCTCTCCAGCCCCAGAACTCATCTCTTTACAAAGGAATTGTCACTATCATCTTTGGTGGTTTAACTGTAACACTCAGACCTGAACAACTCACTTGCCAGCCTGACCTACATGCTGACTCACAATTCATGTCTCTGCTTTTTAAAATTAGTGCAGAAACAGCCAGGTGGGGTGGTGTATGCCTGTAGTCTCAGTACTTGGAAGGCAGAGGCAAGAAGATCACGGCAAATTTGAGGTTCCCAATCAGCCAGGGCCACAGAGCAAGACCATGTCCCCAAATACAATAAATACATGAAAGAAAAAAAAAAAAAAAAACAGTGAAGCAAACCAAATGTTAACACTTAGAAAGGGAAAAGAATGTTGATTTTCTTGATTTCTCTAAATGGAGATTTGAGATATGCTGAGTTTTGACAGAGAAAACACAAAAGTGCAGAGAAAGTTCCTCAGTGGATCTCTCTCATATTTATTTCTTCCCCTTACTCTAGTTAAAGGCAATTTTAATAACTGGTTTTATTATTCACAGTGCATAGTTGGCTAGTAACATTTGTGCTAGCACAATGCTTGGATTATTATAGCTGTCTGTGTTCCAACACTTTTTTTTTTCCAGCAGTTTCTTTAAAATAGGAGAGGCTCAGCCAATCACAAGCCTCCAGACTGACGCTATCTCTCTCACTTAATCCAGGGCCAGGAAAGGGATAATTTGATTAAACTGAGACCCTAATTTATTTGGCTTTAGTTCTGGATCAACCTTTCCTTAATAGAGTGCTGTCGCCCCCAATTGTTTGATGGAAATTAAAGTGACATAAATACCATGGGACTCTTTCAAGCTGATTAGTCAGCAAAGGCATATCAATACCACCCCAGCCATCAGGCTCTGGCGTCCTTCCTTTCACCAGCCTGGCTAGCAACTGACAACAGCCCCTTGAAGGACCAGCACCCACGCCAACATGTGGACCCCCACCCTCAGCCCATCATCCCCACTCAATGGGCTCTGATGACAAGGTGCCCACACCTTTCTCCAGGGCTGTTCTCTGGACAAAGCTAAATATTGTTTTATTAGCAATCAATGGCTGTTAATCCCAACCGACTTCACAAATCCTCTGAGCCCTCAAGCTCATTATAAATACACTTTTCTAAGCGCACTAAATTTTAAATTTCACTTCCTTCACTCTGGCGACATGGCCTTTTAGCTGCTGAATGAGACACTAAAGCGAAAAGGTCAATGGCTTCCAAGGACTCAGAAAACAAGCTGAATCGAGGTCTCTGAGGCTCACTGGAGACACCAATTTGTGCTAAATTTGGAGGATGGGGGTGGCATAAGGAAGATTCTATTTATACATGGAAGGACCTGGCTTTAATCTTACTCCAATGCTTGCTCTCTACTACTGAACTTAAAAACAGCAGAAAAACACATTTCAAAAGCTAGCCTGAATCCTAGAGACAGTTTTTCTGAAAAATTGTACCTCACTGCCTAGCCACAGCTACTCGGAGGATCTGAGCACTGAAACAGAAACCCACACTTCTCCCAGTTTCTCTACCAAACTCAGATTGTTGAGGTAAAAGCAGGGTGTATACCTGTAACAAACAGCTCCTGAAGGACATGAGGCCTGCCAGCAGCTTTGCAGTGACCATCTGATAAACCACCTGAATTCTCCAAAGAGGACTAGGAACCCAGCAGGGATGAGCCCAGAAAGCCACGAGCCCCTCTGAATCTCCTAACCACCTAGGTGCTGTCACTCTTAAACTAAGTTACCAAAACCTCCAAACAGCATATTACACTAAATCAAAATTAGTTGTTTTTGTTTGTTTGTTTGTTTGTTTTTAAGGTCTCCGTTCTTGGCTTTGAAGACAGGGTCTCATATGCTCCAGGCTGGTCTCACATTTACTATGTTGCCTTAGTCTCCTTGGTCCTGCTTCCACCTCAAATGCTGGGAATACAGGCACAAAGCACCACACCAGGGCTTAAAAGATCCAGTGACCCCAGTGCTACGCCTAGAACCTACAGGAAAAAGCCAGATGACATGGTACAGCATATTACTAAGGCAAGATGGGGGCAGAGATGAGCCTGGAAGCTTGGAGGCCAGCTAGCCTGAAACATGGTAGACAAGGTGGGAGAGACTCCCAAAAGTTGTCCTTTGACCTCCATGTGCACCCTAATACATGAACCCAAGCATACATACACATCCACCCATACACACACAGGCACACTCACACACAGGCACACTCAGACACAGACACACTCACTGACACAGACACACCTTTCTGGAGGCAGCAACAGCTTACTTCCTGCCAGTACCCTCTTGGTCCTTTAACACTAACTCATTTCTGAGACTATTTACCTATTTGCCTTTGCCCTTCTGTATTCATTAATTACCTTCATCTTTTCAAACTGATTTTAAAGACAAACAAAAGGTACTAAGTGGCCTATGAGGCCATTCTGATTAGGGGGAAAAACAAAACAAAACAAAACAATTTTCTTCTGGTTAAACTAGTTCCCACTGCGACATTTAGCATTTCTCCCAACACCCTATGATATTTGCCTCGTTCTATGCTTAATGCAGCAGTTCACTCTGCTGAGTCATCGCCAAACCCTGGCTGGAGACTGAAGCTGAAAGCTGCAGTGTGCAGGACACAGACAGTTTTCAGTGCTTTTGGAGGACAGGCTGATGACTGACCCAGGACACAAAGGACTGCACTAGCTGAGCAGCAACATGACCCCTTCTAGAGGAAGAAATGCAGTTCTTAAGAAAACTTCTCTGTAATCCAGTTCTAGCCCCGAGCTTCCAGGCTGGAAGTGCAAAACTGAACAGGACACGAATGTCCACCTCAACTGGAAGCATTTATAGAATTACCTTCTGTATCACCTAGGAAGCTAGGAGAGTCACAACCGAGCTCCTGCCCTACTGGTAAAAGCCCACTGTTCAGAACCACAACAATCTACTGGTTTATAAAAACTATAATAAATGGGACTGGAGAGACAGCTCAGAGATAAAGGCCAAGTACTATGTTTTCAGAGTTCAATTCCCAGCACCCACACCAGGAGGCTCACAACTGCCTCTAAATCCAATTCCAGGAAGATCCATACTTCTGACCTCCATGACCACCTGTAAAACACACAACACACACACACACACACACTTTAAAAGATAAAAATAAAATCTTAAAAACAACAACAACAAAACCTAGTCTAAGTCACTGTAGAGGTTAATAACTTGACCTGACCTAGAAGCAAACCTCTGGCGTGTCTGTAGGGCATTTCTAGACTGGGTTAATTGAGGTGAAAAGCCCACCCTAAATGTGAGTGGCACCATTCCATGGGCTAGGGACCTAAAGCACACAGGAGGAAGAAAAGGCCCTAGCATCATCATTCTGTCTCCTGACTGATGACATAAGATGACCACTGCCTCACAGCCCTGTCAGCATGGACTGAGGCCTCAAACTGTGAGCCAGAATAAAGCTCACCTTCCTTCAGTTGCTTCATCATTGTACTCTGTCACAGTGATGAAAAAGCAGCTAATACAATCAGCTTAACAGAATCAATGTCCTACATATTTAATAGATATGTGGACTCCAGCAAGCAAATCCTGCCAGAGGAATATACCAGACTTCAAGATCTAAACTGAATAACACATATAGACGTTTGCCCAGGATCTATATTATAAACCATGACTTTTAACTATGCAGTAAACTATAGCTTCTAGATAGGGGCTGACTCAATTTAGTGCACCATTAAAAAGAAAATAAAATGTGTATTAAGGCAGTTGTGCGTCAGTGAGGGCTGAGTCATCCCTGGGTTGAATCACTGCTGACGGCTAAGTCATCAGGGGGGCTGACTGAATCGTGCCTCTGGGTTTTGATGAGCTAGATCCCAAGTTTAAAGGATGGCTTTGAAAGCAAGTTGCAGCAAATGAGTGAGAGAAAATGCTTCAAGCCTACAACATTTACTGTGAAAAGAAATATAAAGCTTACCGCCTACAGCATGAGCCAACTACTTTTGCCCAGAGACTGCTGGCTGCTAACCTTAATCAGGAGGTGCTGTGATGATTATAGTGTCTGTCATAGGCTTGATCATGTACATATATGTGATATATCCTGCATTCAGGCCTTAACTCAGAGGCTATTATGAAGCGATGATGACCCTCTCTGCCATGTCCTGTGTATAATACAGATGGGACAGCAGATGGAATCTTAAGCACAGTTTATATTTAGGTACTGCAGTATGCCCCAAGAAAAAGAGTAAGCAAGAAAGGAATCCACAAGGCTGCAGAGATGGCTCAGCAGTTAGGATCTCAAAGTGCTTCTGCACAGGACCTTAACTTAGTGCCCAGTATCCATGTCAGGTAGTTCACAAATACCTGGATAATACTGACAGCCTCTTCTGGACTCTACAAACACCTGCATTCTCATGAGGACATAACCCTACACACATACACATAAAAGAAATATAGGACATCTGTGGAAAAAAGGAAGGAAGAGATCCTTAATAGGTTTGGCCAGTAAAAAGGAGAAAAGGGTATATATCCTGCTCACCGCTCCAGCTTTTTTTCTGGTGGTGCCCAGGCAACAGAATCCAACATCATGACCTTGAAAGGCAGAGGCATACTCGTCCAACTTTTCAAAGTCCACCACTTCTTGATTCTAGACAAGGAAGGACATACACTTAAAAAAGACTCCTTGAGATGTCAAGAATATATGACAAATGACTATCAAATGGTCTAAGCTCATACCATCAAATTTGCCAAATTCCCCTCTTCCTACCAAAAACAATTAATTTGGAGTTGAGTGTAGAACTCAGTGGCCAAGTGCCTACAAGGTACATGTCAGGTCCTGGGCTATGTACAAAGAAATTAAAACAATTTAATCTGAACTGAAAATCAATGGTGCACAAGCGTGTCCACAGAACATGAAACTGCAGTAGGTAAGTCAGACTTCAAATATCAAGGTCACGTGTGCCTTACCTTTGGGAAAAGAAAAGAAAAATTTCAATCTGCACTTTACCAGGAAGGAAACCATATTGATAGGATGTGGAAACAGAATTGAAATTAGAATCTCAAAGAAGATCCACGTTCAAACCTTAGGCCTGGTACTTATAGATACACAATTGTGGCCAAGTTTCTATTTTCTTTTTAATTTTTTTAAATTCATTTTATGTGTATGGATGCTTTGCCTTCATACATGCCTATGCACGATGTACATATAGTGTCAGAGGTACCCAGAAGAGGACACTGGATCCCCTGGAACTGGAACTAACAGAAGGTTGTGAGCCACTACATAGGTGGTGGAAATCTAACCCAGGTCCTCTGGAAGTGCTCTTAACTTCGGAACCATTCTCCAAACCTGTGGCTAACTGTTGACCATAGGTATGTCTCAGTTATGTTCAGCTTAAATGTCTGGCTGAGAATGTTTCCTTCATTCATTAGAATCATCCAGAAGGAACCTCAGACAGAGGCGTATTCTTAGGACTCTTTCCAACACCTGTGAGTCAGCCTCTGGAGTTGTACAGCTCTCCCCCACCCCCTTCCTCAGTCTCTGTCTCTCTTCCCTTCCCTCCCTCTGCTCCTCCCTTCCTTCCTCCGTCCCTCTTTTCTTCCCTCCTTCTCTCTCTTCCTTTTTCTTTTTCAAGGCCAGGCTGGCCTCAAACTTCCAGGCTACCTTGAGCTTCTGATCCTCCTGCCTCTACCTGTCAAATGAAAACATTACAGGTAAGCCCCACCATATCCAATCAGACAATGCTAGAGACTGAATAGGGGCCTTGTTCATCTACCAACTGAGAGAGCTGCACCCCTTATTCCATTTTGTTTTCCTCTATGGTATTTCTAATTGACACAGAAACTGGCACATGCTAAGCATATTAAGAGAGGTGGCACTTACCTGTAATCCCAGCATTGGCAGAAACAGAGGCATGAGAACTGAGCGCAAGGCCAGCCTACATTAGCTAGAGAAACACTGTCTCAAACCTAAGCAGCCTGTATCTGAAAGTGTAGAATTGCAATCAAACTTGCCATCACCCAGGAGTTCAAATATCATCTTGGGGCTGTCACTACCTTTAGTTCCTTCAGAAGGATTTTCCTGGCATAATATATACTATAATAAAGAAAAAAATAAAGTAAAATAAAATAAAGTCTGGAAGACGTGCCACCAAGACTCTACTCTCAAAGAAAATTGCAATCTTAGGCTCCACTTGCCAGTAATCTCCCCAAGGTTCAGATAACTAGACCATGGAGTCCACCCAGCACCCACCTGAGCCCAAGCAGAGATGTCTATTTTAATCAGCAAGTCCTGATGGGACCCATGGGAGACTGCATTAAACAGCCGCATACTACACTGTTTAATTTGCTGCAGTTGATAGGTAACTCTTGTTTACTAGAGAACAAAATGTCCACGAAGCTCAGACTTAAAGATACTTGGGTATTATTACCAGATGGAAGTCTGTTATTACCATTTGCTATAACTTACAAGGAAGACAATATGCGTTTACAGACACAGCCTCGGGGGGAGTCAAGTGGGCGGATTCCTACTTGGGAGAAATTCAACCCGTCTTTGTCACACTTTGCCACTCTGCTATTGTGAAGCACACAGGTAGGCAAATGAGCAAGCAGTACACTCTAGGAATTACAAAGAGCGCCTTTCTCTGACCACCATTCCCTTTTCCAGTCTGGGTTCCAGACACCAGAACGGCACTGCAGGACGCTGTAGGATTAAAAAACAGCCAGGCAAGACCCAAGGCTTGCTGGAAGGGCTCTTCTAGATTAATCATGCCCAATTTTGATTTCTCTGTCTCCACCAGTACCTATCCGGCAATGGTCAGCCTTTGGACATGGACACTTTCCCCTCATCAAAATGATTGAGGCTACATTCTTTTTTAGCCCCAGCTCAAATACCCACCACATTTTTATAAGCTTCGTCCTCGAATGTGAGCTTTCTCCGGCCAATGAGGGTTACTCTGGAAAACAGATTCTGTCCCAGAATTTCTTTTAAAAGTACTCTGCCGGTTTCCCCACTGGCGCCCAAAATAAAGACAGATTTATTCTGCATCTTGAAGTCTTCCCGAAGCTTCGGCAGGGCCTCCTTGTCCGCCATGCTGGGGAAACAACGCCACGGGTACTGTCTCAGAGTGCTAGGGGAACAATCTTTTCCCTGGGGAACAAGGGTTGTTATTTATTGAGCAGAAGAGACTCACTCTACATAGTCCTAGCCCTGGGGAAGTGCTGAGTCACAGCGGGGCTCCGGACGAAGGCCAGTCCAGGTAGGAGCCCAGGTGGACGTGCCCATGCCTCTACACCACTGAGCCTCTTACCCCAGGGTAACCAGGCCCGCCAGGCAGGGCTGCGGGGCCCGGCTCAATCCCGCAACCCGGGGTTACCTGGGGCCAGCTCCGGGCCCCTCGTCCCCACGCTGCAGCAGTAGCATTGAGGCCACCAGCGCGGCTGCCACTGCGCCCAGCGCCGTGGGGCCGACCATCCTCTGCCGGCTAACCCGCCGTCGCTCCTCCCGGCCGGGATCCCCCAAAAGCCCAGCCACACACAGCCTACCCGCCGCGTCGTCTTCCGGGTGACTGCGTGCTCTTGGCCCCGCCCCACCGAGGGCCGGAGCTGAGCGCGGACCCGCCCCTGCTCGGGAACAGCTTCAGCTTCTACCACCCGCCAAGCTGCAGCGGGGTTCGGGGCTGTGCTCATCCCCCCCCACCCCCAGGCCTTCTTCCCCCATAACCCTTCCTGAGCCTAACCACCTGGGGCCAGAGCCTTCAGGTTTCAGCTAAAAGGCATCCCAGGCTTGACCCTTGGTCCCCGAGGTGTGATTTCCACCAAGTATTGGAAGGCATCATCTTACCCTACATTAAAAATACTAAATCATGCATGTTATTAATCCCAGCACTCAGGAGGCAGAGGCAGGTGGAGTTCGAGGCCAGCCTGGTCTACAAAGCCAGACAGCCAAGGCTATACAGAGAAACCCTGTCTCTTAAAACAAAACAAAACGAAAAGCTAGAGTAGTTAAGAGCACTGGCTGCTCTTCCAGAGGACCTAAGTTCAATTCCCAACACCCACATGGCAATTTACAGCTGTCCATAATCCAGGTCCAAGTAATTTGGCACTCTCACACGTGCAGGCAAAACACCAATGCATATAACATAAAAATTAAAAATTCATTTTTTAAATATGTGCCCCTTCTCAGGCTGGGGATACAGCATGTAGCTCAGTTAGAACAGGGCCCTGGGTTCCATCCCCGTCACCGGGAAAATTGGAGTGGTTGTACAGGCGTGTTATAGCAGAAGGTAGAAGAAGGATAGATACAGTGAGTTCTAAGGTCTAGGACAGCCTGAAATGTATGAGCTCCTGTCTCAAGAGCTGAGGAGGACATGTTGGGAAGACGGTCTCAACAGACTTGGGAGAGGTGATGCCAGGATGAGTAAAATCAAAGTACATAAACATGAAACTGTCAGTAAAGTAAAACATTAAAAAAAAAAAAAAAAAAAAGTCTGGCCCCATATAAACCACTGTGAAAAAGAAAGCTATCTCTTGCTTCTTTAAGGACATATCTGTTGTGGGGTCTGCTTAAATACAATATGACTCAAACAGCAGGTCAATGCAGATGACAAAAATTTATTGTAATCAAACCACTAGAGGTTGATCAAGGCCACAGAACAGACGCGGGAGCTGAAGTGCCACCTTGAACAACGTTGTACAGCCTATTTAAAGGATGAAGCCATAAAGTGAGGGAGAGTTGAGTGGGCTGTATCATTGTCTAATCATATTTTGGTATAATGGGTTGAGAAAGGGAGTTTTCATCAATCAGGATAGGAGTTGGTTCCTGGGCCTGGGAACATGAACTTAGTTTGACCTGCCAGCAAGACAGAGAAGTTGTCCCTGAGATGTCTGGACTCAGACAACTGTTCCCTTACAACAGAAGCTGTTCTGCTATTGGGAAGTATCCAGCTGCCCTAGGCCCTTGAAGTTAGTTTCTCCCTGTGATTAATGGAGTCTGAAGACAAAATGGTAGAACTCAGAATAAGTTTCTTCTGCTCTTTCCCAGCACTACTTTCTTCCTTCATGTCAGAAGTCAGGCTGACTCCTTTAACTAGTTTTCAAGTTGATCTCCCGGCCTATATCCTGGCTCCCTTCTGGATGGTTGGGCCAGGAAGAGTTTCCAACCTCATCCTGTGGTTTGATTTTCAATCAGGACATTATCAATGGTTAGAATACAGCTATCCACACTGGGCCTGACCAGTGTGGATTTTGGAAGCATAGAGATCAGAATGATTGACGTGGAGATGTTTTTTAAATTACATTTATTTATTTATTTATTTATTTATTTATTTATTTATCTATCTATCTATCTATTTGTGGTTTTGTGTGTGTGTGTGTACAGGTATCATGGTGGGTGTATGAAGGTCAGAGGGCACCTTGCAGGATTCGGTTCTCTGCTTCTACAATGTGGGTTTGGGTGATCTAACTCAGGTCCTCAGGCTTGGCAGAAGCATATGTACCCACTGAGCCATCTCCCAAACCCAAGAATATGGTGGCTGAGCAAAGATGGATTGGGCTGTG